TCGCCCCCCCGCGTGTCTCTGCGGCTCTGTTTAAGAGCCGCGCTGCCTGAGCGCTACCGGCTTCGGGCAGCCCCCGTGCCTCCGGACCCTGCGCCGCCGAAGCCCTGGAGGGGAAGTGCCCGGCCGGCGGCTGGGGTCCGGAGGCATAGGGGCTGCCCGAAGCCCATAGCGCTCGGGCAGCTCGGCTCTTAAACAGAGCCGAAGAGTCAGGGGAGGAGCAGAGCAGCCGCAGGAGGGGAAGTGCCTGGCCGGCATTTTCCCGGACATGTTCGGCTTTTTGGCAATTCCCCCCGGACGGGGGTTTGATTGCCGAAAAGCTGGACATGACCGGGAAAAACCGGACGTATGGTAACCCTATTATTGTTGCTAATCACTTATAGCTCTGCCAATGCACACAGAGCTTTACAAAACACAGAGTAAGACATTCCTCTGACTAAAGAGCTAATAGTCCTACAAAGGGGTGGTAAATGCAGCCTCTTTCACCAGCAGAGTCCCACTGACCTGCAGGATGCTCTTTGAAGTGAGGCAAACAAAAGACAAGACAGTAAACAAGACAACAGCTCTGATACAAGAGACAGCTGAGGAAATAAGGTAGAAAAGACTCGTGCAGGAAATGGGTTTAAGGAATGATTTCAAAAGGAGAAAAGTGAGAGCAGCCATTTGGTGAAAAAGAATTGGGAGACTGTTCTGAACGTAGTGCAAGCAGGAAATAAAGTGTAAAAGTAAGAGTGGAAGAAGACAACGACTAAATTATTGGGGGCAGAGACTGTAATTTTCTGTGTGTATGTACAGAGTTTGGCACAACAAACCCCTGGCTTGGTTGGTCTCTAGTTTCTACTGCAGTATAAATATCAAAAATATTAACAATAATTAAAAAGAGAGGCCTAGGAAGGAGAGTGTGTGTGCAGAAGGATAATAGGAGGAAACAGGAGGAGAGATGTAGGCAAACGAGAGATTATTTAGCACTTTGAAGGTGAGCACGAGGAACTCGAGTTTGATGCAAGAAAGACAGGAGTCAGTGAAAGAATACGAGGTGGGTGGAAAGTGAGTCAGTCAGAGCAGTAGGGGAGGAAGTTCAGTTTAGCAGCAGCTTTTGGATATACTGAAGAGGGGAAAAGATTACATGGCAAAAGATGGCCAAGGCATGAGCACTTGTACTAGAGAGAATAGGGGAAAGAATGACAGGACTTAACAAGAGATAGTTCAAGCCTCACTGTGTTGGCCAAGAGGGTGGCCATCACAAATGCACTTGTGAAGAAGAGACAGTGAAGAGAAGAAGCAGTAGAGGCTGAGGAGGAATCATGAGAAGCTCTGACATGTTGGGTTACATAAATATTTACTATTTTGCACTAAGAAGTCAAACAGAAAAGAGATTTTTCATAATTTACCTTTTTATAAAAATAATATTGCAAATTACTGTAAATAGCATCTTTCATCAGAGGCTCTCAGAGAACCCCATAATCATCATAAATTCAATATAAGCACATTACAGGCCCAGTCTTCCAGTTATTACTCATATGACTAAAGCTATTGAAGCCCATGAGACTTTGATGTGAGGAAGGGCTGCTGGATCACACCATAAGTAAGTGGTACAAAATTAGCAGGCTCAAAGGCTGAAAACTGATTCTTTGAATACATTTCCTGTTTCTTTCCAAATCTATATGCATCCTACAAAGATTATAAAAACTAGCATTCGCACTTGTCTATTAAACTCTTTTCAAAATGTGCAGAGATAAAATTAACCTCTTATATCTTCATTGCTATCAGTCTTATTATTTACATGCAATATTTCAAACACTGGAATCAGTTCTCTGAAACTGTATGAAGTACTGATATGGTAAGAAAACTATCGAAAGTTGGCTCCTTTCTCCACAGACCTGTTGGAGTGGAGTGTATTCAGACTCATGTCTTCTGCCTTAATTGACAAAAATATGTCTACTTAAAATATCTTTACTCCTGCTAGCACTGAACAGCCACTACATCTATTGGAGAGCGAGCAGGATTCCTTTCTGGCTCATGCATCATAACAGAACTGTTGACCAAGTTCCAATCACAGAACCTTTGCCCTATGATATGCAGAAGTGTGCCCTCAACTGAGCTTTAAGTACAGCTCAGGAAGCATGTGCCAGAAAGAACACTCACTTGACTTTCAGATTCCAGGTTGAGTTCACTGGACAAAAATCTCTTTGCACCTGGAAGCCTAATAAATTTGCTCTGGAAGTCATTGAAAGACAAAGCTGGAACTCCACAATAACACAGAAATTCAGAGAAGAATGGCACTTTAAAGGTTTTAATTTTTCACACGTACCTGTGGGCCAGGCTCTCCTGGGTCACCTTTTTCACTTTGAAAATCTCCAGGAAAACCCTGTGACAAATCCACACATTTTCAGATTCACATTTTTGCATCTTAATCCATTTTGTATTATTTTATTACCTTGTACAATGAAGTCTGATTAGAGCTGCTGTTAATAGATCTTAATTGATGGCTAGACCAAGTAGTATAAATATGGACTCCAAATAGCAACGTTTTCCATGTGAATGTGATGCTGTATGAAGGTCCTGGATTTTGAGAGATTTACTTTGATCACTTACCAATGACCCAACTGGTCCCGGGAGACCCCTTGATCCTTTCTCTCCTTTATCTCCTTTCAAGCCCTGTCACAACAAAATAAAATATTTATTTAGTCTTTCAGATTTTTCAGTGCCCCCCGCCCCCCCCAAAAAAATCTAGGTGTTTTATACATAGGGAAACCCAAATTACAGACAAGTTTGAATAATTAAATAAATTAAAAGCTGATCTGGATAAGGCAGAGATAATGTTAGTAGCCTGATTAAGCAGGTAGAAAAGTTGGCAATTTTTTTATCACTATCCTTGACTGAGGTGATTTGCCATTTGCAAATCAAGGGACCAATCATTTTCTCAGATGTTTGCCTCTTGGACTGAAATTTTCCAGATTTGTTCTTAACCTGAGTAAAAAATTTTTGGAAAGTTTGAACAAAAACAGTTTAATCGTTTTCAGGTGAAAAGAGGGAAAATATACTTTTACCTGTATAAAAATATTTTTGTGAGCCTTTTTGGAACAGCTCTAGTGACTCAGGCACCTAGATATCTTTGAAGATCTGAGCCTAACTCCCATTGATTTCAATGGGATATCAGTGCCTAAATAAATACCCTGGAGGATCTGGGTCTCAGTGATTTGGGATAAAAACCTGAAATTTGTCAGGGACATGGGCTATAGGTCAACACAGCCTTTCGCAGTCTACTGAAAATCCATTTGGTTTGGCCAAGTTGAAAGTGTTCTACTTTGCACATACCCACTGGTTTTTGTTTCCACAACAGGTTTTTTACAAATGATCACTAACATCCCACTGGCACTCTGCGCATGTGCATATTGGTATCATTGCCTCATCTATGACAGCTGTATGAACATATAATAAGAGCTTGCTATCTAAATAGAGAAGACAAAGGGTGGGAGAAAGAAATTATTGTTATCCCCATTTTCCAGATATGGAAGTGAGGCATTAAAGGCCACTTTTTCAAAGCTATTTTGGCACCTAGTGGGATTTTCAAAAGTGCCTAAGCAAGTTAGGCACCTAACTCTGAACTGAATTCAAGTGACTTGCCCAAGGTCATGCAGGAAGTCTGTGGCAAAACTGGGAACTGAACCTACATCTCCCGAGTCCCAGACCAGTGACTCAGTCACAAGACTGTCTTTTCAATTGCCAAGACAGTCTCATTCAATGCACAACTTCTCAATGTTCTATTGGTTCGGCACATGCATGTGCCAGAAAGTTGAGTGGAATTTCATTTTTAATGCGTGGGGGCGCTTGGAATATAAGGATGTGGATGGAAACAGACCATACGTCTAAGCTGCCCTGCATCATTCTATCTGACCTATGAAGGTTTGCTGAGGAGGGGGCTGGGCTCTGAAGGAGAAAATAGAATAAACATAAAATACCAAAAGCATAAATACTAAGAAACTTCTGTCCTGTGACCCAGAGCAAAGCAACTGTATATATGACCCACAGCAAATGTGGCCCAAGGTAAAACACACAAGTTAGTTTATAAATGATTATTTTACTACCTTCATATTATCTGGTCCACTTAATGTCACAATAACTGTTCCTGGGAGCCCAGGGGGTCCTGCTGATCCAGGATCACCCTGAAAATAAAAAGAAAGATGATTTAAATAAAGTTAATATTCTGCATTCAAAATCCATGAAATCTGACATTGCCAAATTGAATTAATTTGCATGACAATGGTTATTTATTCACCCACCCCTCCACTTAAAAAGACACACAAAAAGTATATGACTTTGAATGTTATTTCTATCTTTTCTACATGCAGAAGAGTAGAGATGTGTATGTTTATTTACATCACAGTACCTAAAAACAGCTCACAGATATAAATGTTGTTTCCAATGCAGTTTCTACAAAACTGATATATCATCACTTTCTCCCTAATCGTTATTTAAAGAATCTCTCCTCGTAGCAGTTGGGGTTCTTCTCCCACTCTGATGAAGTTAACCTGTTAGTAAAGTACATCGTCCCTTTGCTAAATTCTTTTCAAGATTGCAGCCTAATATAATAGATAGATGGTTGTAATAGATTGCTGCCTGACACAATCAGCTTTCACGTTTGACCTAAATGTTGGAATTTTAGTTCACTCTTTCAGTGAGGGCTGCTGAGAAGAAAAAAAAATCCTAAAAACTGTCAGCAGTCATTTTAAACAGCCATTCATGTGTTATTTTGCATATGTTATCAGTATATAACAAATATAGCAACATCTTCTGTGAGGCTAGCTAGCTAGAATTTGGAAGAGTCAAGGTCACCTGAGGTCATCAGTTCCATTTATAGGAATTTAGCCAAGACAATTTCAATAAATATGTTTACCAGCTAGGTGATTACATAAAAAACAGTTACTCACCTTCTCGTAACTGTTGTTCTTTGAGATGTGTTGTTCATGTCCATTCCAACCAGGTGTGTGCGTGCCAGCTGGAAGATTGTTCCCTTAGCAGCGTCTGTAGGGTCGGCCTGGGCCAATATAGTGCCCTGCCGACCCCTCATCCCCTCAGTTCCTTCTTGCCGGCTACTCCGATAGAGGGGTAGGAGGGTGGGTTTGGAATTGACATGAACAACACATCTCGAAGAACAACAGTTACGAGAAGATGAGTAACCATTTTTTCTTCTTCGAGCGCTTGTTCATGTCCATTCCAACCAGGTGACTCACAAGCCAAAGTTCAGGAGGTGGGGTCGGAGTCATCCACTGATTGGAGCACAGCTCGTCCAAAGGCCGCTTCGGCTCTGGCTTGCTGTGTGATTGCACAGTGCGTTGTAAACGTGTGTATCGAGGACCACATCGCTGGTCTGCAGATCTTCTGGGTGGGGACCTGCGCCAGGAATGCAGCTGAGTGAGCGGTGATTGGCAGAGCTGGCACCTTTGCCAGGCCGTAACACTCGCGCATGCAAGGTGTGATCCACGACGAGATGCGCTGGGAAGAGACGGGGGGGCCCTTCATCCTGTCTGCCACCGCTGTGAATAACTGGACAGACTTTTGGAATGGCTTAGTTCTCTCTATATAGAATGACAGCACTCTGCTGATATCCCATGAGTGAAGCCTTCACTCCCTGTCGCAGGAATGTGGCTTAGGATAAAACAGTGGGAGGAAGATGTCCTGGTTCATGTGAAAGTGGGAGACAACTTTAGGGAGAAATGCCGGATGTGGTCTGAGCTGAACCTTGTCCTTATGAAATACTGTGTAAGGGGGCTCAGATGTAAGTGCCCCGAGCTCCGACACTTTCCTAGCTGAGGTTATTGCCACCAGGAATGCCACCCTGTAAGAGAGATAAAGCAGGGAGCACGTCACCATTGGCTCAAATGGGGGGCCTGTAAGTCTGGCAAGAACTAGGTTAAGGTCCCAGGTTGGGACAGGCTGATGAGTTTGCAGGTAGAGTCAGTTGAGGCCTTTGAGGAAACAGGTAACCATGGGGTTCACAAAGACCGAGAAGCTGTCTGCGCCCGGATGGAAGGCAGAGATGGACCCTTATTGATGACAAGGATAGAGCCTGTTTAAGATGGAGGAGGTAGTCCAGTATGAAAGGGACCAGGGCAAGCATCGGTGACTGATGGTGCTGCTCCGACCAGAGAGGGAGCCTCTTCCACTTGGCAAGGTACGTTGCCCTTGTAGAGGGCTTCCTACTGCCAAGGAGAACTTGTCTGACTTGATCAGAACAGGACAGTTCCATAGCATTTAGCCATGGAACATCCAAGCTGTGAGGTGGAGCGACTCTAGGTTCGGATGCCGGAGGCGGCCGTGATCCTGCGTCATCAGGTCCGGGACCAGCGGTAAGGTGAGCGGGGTCGCCACGGACATTTCCAGGAGCGATGTGAACCAGTGCTGGCATGGCCATGCCAGAGCTATCAATACGACCTGGTCCCTGTCCCTGTGGGCCTTGAGGAGCAGCTTGTGGACCAGCGGTATTGGTGGGAACACGGAGAGCAGACTTTCTCCCCACGGAAGAAGGAAGGCATCTGTGATGGAACCCAGACTGTGATTCATGAAGGAGCAAAATAACTGACATTTCCTGTTGCTGCGTGTGGCAAACAGGTCTATCGGAGGAAAGCCCCAGAGACGGAAAATTGAGCTCACTACGTCCAACCAGAGGGACGACTTGTGGCCGTGAAAAGTTCAGCTGAGGCTGTCCGCCAGCTTGTTCTGCACCCCGGGGAGGTATGAAGCCTGCAGGTGTATTGAGTGCTCTACACAGAAGTCCCAGAAGGCTTCCTGGCACAGGAGAGAGGAGCATGCACCCCCGTTTGTTGATATAAAACATTGCCGTGGTGTTGTCTGTGAGGACTGATACCCATCTGCCTGATATATGGGTTCTGAAAACCTGGCACGCCCAACCCACCGCTTTCAGCTCTCTGACGTGGATATGCTGAGCGAGATCCGCCTGAGACCAGAGGCCCTGAGTTCTGAGGTCTCCCAAATGTGCCCCTCAGCTCAGATCCGAGGCATCTGTCACTAACGAGAGGGATGGCTGGGGGCTGGTGAAAGGTACTCCTGCACAAAACACCTGTGGGTCGAGCCACCACAGGAGGGAGTCTAGTACAGGGTGGGGCAGGGTTACAATGCCGTCCAGAGTGTCCCAGGCCAGTCGATAAACCGACGCCAGCCATGACTGAAGTGGGCGAAGTCTGAGTCTGGCATGCTGTACTACGTAGGTGCATGCAGCCATGTGCCCCAGCAGTTTCAAGCAGTTCCTTGCTGGAGTCAGAGGGAACTGTCTAAGGCCCCGTATGATGTCCCCTAGAGACTGAAACCTAGTTTCCGGGAGGTACGCCCTGGCTTGGGTTGAGTCCAGCACTGTGCCTGTAAACTCTATCCTCTGCACCAGGGACAGAGTGGATTTGGCCTCGTTGAGAAGGAGACCTAGTTTGAGGAAGGTCCTTCTTATGAAGCCAACCTGATCCTCCACTTGGGATCTGGAGTGGCCTTTGATCAGCCAGTTGTTGAGGTATGGGAAAACCTGAATCTGCTTGCGCAGGAACGCAGCGACAACTGCCATGCATTTGGTGAAAACACAAGGTGCTGCTGGAGAACCCAATTATCCTCCAGAGCTGGGGCCATTGACGCCCCCATGACCGCTTCATCTGGCGAGGATGATGAGGAAAGAACTGGCAGCAGACCTTGCTCACTGCCTTCAGTGCTCTTTGGGTCTCTCGGCACGCAGTGTTCGATGGGATGTGACAGGGCCGCTGGAGGTGGGAGCCTCGGTACTGCAGTTGGTGCGGGAGCCACTAGATCCGGTGGTGCCGACCTTGTTGACACCAGTGGAGTCGGGGCTGAAGCCGTCGTCGGTGCCATTGAAGGAAGGGTCATTGCCGGAGCTGTTTGTAACAGCGGGGTTGGCACTTTGGTCAGCGGTGCCGGCGTTGCTGGCGGTGGAACAAAAGACGCCGAAAACACCGATGCCGACCAGGACCTTGGGCCTGACTCTGGCTCTGGTGGTACGCCCAACGTGTCCAAAAGGGCCATTGGGATGATGGCTCCCACTGCTGTGGCCATGGTGTGCCAAAGCGCTTGCCACAAGAGTGAGCGATGTTCCAGCCACCGTCACTAGTGGTAAGAAGGAACTGAGGGGGTGGAGCGTCGGCAGGGCTCTATATTGGGCGCCATGAAGGCGCGACTCCAGGGGGTGCTCAGGCCGACCCTACGGACGCTGCTAAGGGAAAAATCTTCCGGCTGGCATGCACACAGTGTGCACACTCCTGGTTGGAATGGACATGAACAAGCACTCTAAGAACAATTAACATTAACTTCAGTGTACCCAACTCCTGTAATCAGATCTGCACAGACAAAATATTGCATTCATGAGGACTCCAATGACTAAACTGGGACTCTGCACAGATGTATAGATCCACTTGTCTGGATCCAATTGCAAGATTGGGGTCTACGAGACTTTACATTTGCTTATGGTCAATTGTAATTTGCATTGAGACACATTTGATCATGGGGTGATATAATAGTGAGAGTGACAAAACATCCTATTTTTATGGTATAACTTTGGAGGATTTCTTGGAAGATATTCTTGGAGTTTCAGATAGCATCATGAAGATGAACACTTAAAAAGGCAGGATCAGAGCATCTAAGAGTGAAGTCTATGACAGCTATTATTAGTTTATTTATTATTTAACTCCTTGGCTAGCGGAGGAACAGGATTTCCAAACACTGTATACCAATGTAATGTAAACCACATTACTGCTTTCTATTAGTAAATACTGACGGCTGGCTCCAAGAAGTTAAGCTTCCTCTTAAACTGTTAGCCTGCTTCTATCTTTCACTGTTAGGTGAAGACAGTATCCTTTGATGTCACCTTGTCCCCATATTCTAGTGAAAGTAGTCTGCAAAGATTCTCCATTAATGTATGTAGAGCAAATTATTTTTGCTTCACAGTACTTCCTCTTCAAAAGATTTCACCATAGTAAGAAGAAATCTGAAGCAAAACTTTCTAATGTTATAATTATATTACAGAGTTACCTGTATTCCTTTGGTTCCTATGATCTTAATCCCCATGACACCCTACAAAAGAGTTTTTAAAACATTACTTTTTTCTTGTTTTAAAAAGCACCCACAAATAATGAATGAAAAAATGTTACATGAGATTTAAGAGTTTTAATTTTTAAAGCAAATCTCAAGCTACCTTACGTCCTGGAAGTCCCATTCTCCCTGAAACACCCTAGAGAAAACAAAATGAAATGAAAAGGAAAAAAAACCAGCACAGTAAAATAGTAAATAGTAGAATTCTCAGTCCTGATATAGGGTCTTATTCAAAGCCCACTGAAGTCAATGGGAGTATTTCCGTTGACTTCAATGGGTTTTGGATCAAGCTTCTAGTGCCAGATATTCAGCCAGGTCTTGCCATGGTTTATTTTTTGTGCTTGCAATTCATTGTGGATACAAATATCTGTAGCATGTCTAAACACCTGATTTGCAAGTGCAAACGCTATGTGTATAACTGGAATTTAATGCAAATTTAAAAAATATATGTGCAATTATTTGAAGATGCAAGATTATGCCCACACAAATTGAAGCTACTCTTGAAAATCTAAACTTTAATTAGCAAACAAAATAAATAAATAAATAAATAAACCCAAATCTGTCAGACACATGAATTTACAGATTTTACATACTCATGGAATTTTCATACCATCTATAGAAGTCAGTGGCCCATATTCTTGGGAGATAGGTGCCTAACTCCCTTACGCTTCTTGGAAACTCTTAAATCATAAAAATATACTGATTTTATACTCACTGAAGATCCCGGAGGGCCTTGTGGTCCAACTAGCCCTTGGAGTCCTCGAGGACCTGGTTCACCCTTTATATTAAACAAGAAACGAGAATAAATTTCCTGATGGTAAGAAAATGCAAGAATATAAATGATCCACTATGCATGGAAATATCTGGGCACTAGAGGGTGAGTTACAGACATAGAAGTAATGTTATCTCTGAATTCCCTTCTTTTCATGTCTCAGTGCAATGTTATTTAATCCAGGCTTTTGTTTTTAATGTCTTTATATTAATGATAATCACCTTTTAAGTATAAGTTTTTATAACTATGGAACCAAAAATCACTCAATGGAAAAATGACAGTTTTTCCATGGAAACCATTACTGCTATTTCACAAATATTACTTGGTCAAATTTGCAATAAGTTGGGCAGGACCACTTATGAACAAAAGAATTGCCATCCTGGACCAGACCAGTAGTTTTCCTAATAATCCTGAATCCTGTCTGTGGAAACAGCCATATCCACAGGAAAGTGCCGTAAGTGCTTTAGGGTATGTCTACGCTGTAATGTCAGCCCAGAGCTAGTAGAACTCGAGTTAGCAGACCTTGGGTTTGTTAGCCTAGGGCTTGAGCATCTACACTCATTTGTAATCCCAGGCTAGGAATTGTTGGACTCTGGGACCCAACCTGGGGCTCCAGGATCTGCACAGCATTATGTGGGCCTTAGTCCAACCACCATTATTCCAGATTTCCTAGTGTCCCTCTCAATATGTAGCCACTCTAGCCCTTTGTTTGTGGAGCAGTATGAGAAAAATCTGACTGTCCACCAAACTTGACTGTCCAGACCACAAAGAAAGTTGGCCCATGGGGTTGTGGGATACTTTTGATGGACTCCCAGAACATGAGTCCAGTGGGACTGCATCTATCCTGCAAAGCAATAGGGTTTGAGCCCTAGCTCCTGGCTTGACTGAGGGTCGAACCCTCCACCCCTGGGGGTCCTGGCACCCTGGGTCCGTGATCTGGGTTAGTGCAATTTGTATGTAGGCGGAAGAGAGAACAGGCTTTAGCCTGAGATCGAACCCTGAGTTTACCTTGCAGTTTAGACATATCCTCTGTGGACACTTACGGAATAACCACCCAAATGGAACATTTCTTCCTAACTCCATCAGTTACTGGTTGGCTTGTGCCTTGTAACACGAGGATATACACCTTTGTACACCTTTACCATGTTCTCTCTATTTATTTTTCTCTCTAAACAGTCAGGATCTTTTCAGTCTCTCTTCATATGGAAATTTCTCTAAGCATTATTGTTGCCCATCTCTCTATCTCTAATATATCCCTTCTGAGATTGGGTGACCAGAGCTAAATAAAGTAATCCAGGTTAGAGCATATCTTTGAATCACAGAAAGGCTTGATAATATTTTCAAATCCATTATTTAAGTACCATAACATTTCGTTTGCTTCTTGACCTCCACTGCAGACTGAATAAAGGTCTTTATTGAGCTGTCCACAATGTTGTCCAGATATTTTCCCTCAGTGGTTAGTTAATGTATAGCAGTAGATCAAATTATTCCATCCAAAGTGCATTCATCAACAATGAATTTTATTTATTATAATGCTGCCTATTCAACAACCTTTATTAGATAATTTGGAAGTACCCCACACTCTTCACCAGCTTCAATTACCCTAATTCAGAGGTTCTCAAACTGTGGACCACCAGTGGTTTGCGAGCTCCATTCAGATGGTCTGCAGATAGTTCCCTCTAAGGTGTGTGCCTGGGCGGCAGCACACAAGAGAATAAAGGGCCACCCACCTAATTAGTGGAGCTGCGCAGGTGTGGCTCTACTAATTAGGTGCCTGGACCCTGGAGAAGACTCACGTATAAGGTGAGGTGGTGGCCTTGGGGGGGGGAGGGGAAATAGGCGGTGGGTGGGAGGGGCCAGTGGGGTGAGAAGAGGGAGTGGGATGTGCAGGGCTGAAGCGGCCAGAGAAAGAGGCGATTTCCCCCAGCTCCAGGGCTGCGGCTGCCAGGGAGAGACAGCCCTCCTTCCCAGCCTCAGTTCTGTGACTGCTGTGCAAGGGGAGAGACACCCCCACTTCCCAGCCCAGCTTGGTGGCTGCCATGGCGGGGGAGAGAGGGCACATCCATTGCATTAGAAAGGTACGACTACTGATATTAATATGAGTGGTGTGCTTTTATTTATAGAACAAAAAAAGTTAATTATTATGTTTTTTATATAGTGCTTTATCCAAACACTTTACAATAGTTAGCTAATGGTACAAACAATATTTGGAAAGATCATTGAGTGGTCCACCAAGACCCTCAGCAATTTTCAAGTGGTCCGCAAAAAAAAGTTTGAGAACCACTGCCCTAATTAATGCTGTCTCATCTGCAAATGGTGCCACCTCACTGTTCACCCCCTTTTCCCTATACTTAACAAATATAGTAAACACCACCAGTCCGAGCAAGCAAAACTGACCCCTAATGGCTTGGGGAAATTTGAATTTTGAAAGGGATAAAAAGAATAACTTTATCTCTCTCACCTTTATAATATAACCCAATATCACATTCAGAACTGAAGTTATTTTCTGATTTAAGAACAATAATACATTACTTTTTAAAAAAATATTCATAGCACAGTGTAAATTCTTTTAATTACCTGGCGTCCAGGTATTCCTGGTAATCCAGGGTCACCTCTCCCATCATATCCTGGGTCATATCCACTTGCAGGGCACCCCTTGACAATAAGTAATTAAAAAAGCCTCATCAACTGTTATATTATGAAATTCGTTTGTATAACTCAAGGCAATAAAGCTCACAATAAGATACACAGTAGAGAAATCCAACATCAGAAATCTCCTAATGCTGGCTATTGTCCATTATGGACAATTCTACCAAAAAAAATCATTATTCAATACATACTACATGATATGTACATATGATCCGTACTTCTTGGTCCTTACGAACCTCCTTCTTTTTAGACCTACACGTACTTCCTTCACACACATACATGGTTTTATCTAATGTTTTCTTTTAAGGATATGTTTATTGGATTCTATTACAAGAGTTCTATTATTGGCAATTTGCATAATCTCCAACAGAATATAGAGAGCCTCTTTCTACCTGATCTGAGTTACACCTGATTTCACTAGAGTTACTGTGGACTTACACTGGGGTAACGAAGATCAGAATCTGGCCCAAAACGAATTGCATCATGTAACTGACGGTGTCAAGTTCTCTACATAAGAACAGTTCCTAGAGTAAAACATTCAAGTGGGGGCCAAAATCTCATTTTATTTCTTTATATCACTTACATCAACGTCATCTTTGCTTTATTGTTTATTTATTTGTGTCTTTGTTCCCACCAGGGTAAGAGTGCTGCTAACAGGATGAAAGCACTTCAGACCATATTATCATAGTAATCTCCAAAGTCTTTGTACAACACTGCTGTATTTTAAAAAAACTGTAAGAACTTCTTAAAGGAAAAGAGTCTGATTCACTGCTGTGTTACTCTAGTTTTCATCCGGTGAAATCAGTATAATGTAGTGAAGAATCAGACCCAAAATATTCAGATTCATGTTGTGTTCAACTGTTTCACTAGTGTACATGAAAGGTGGAGGGCTCAAGGAGCTCCCTTTAATAATCTGTGCAGCAGTCAGGCATATTTGCCTGAACTCCGTGGAGTGTGCAGATTGCTATCTCCAGGCAAGCGGGGCTGACAGACACCTTCAAGGAGGTGCAGCAGGAAAAAAGGTCACGGCCTTGGTCCCTGTGCACAGAAAAGAGTACGGCATTTTCATAAAGCCATGTAGCAGTACAGGCATTCTGCAGTCTACATGCCTGGGCATTCTGGGAAGAATTCTGCCTCAAGGAAGAATTCTTCCTGTAGCAACCCCC